TCAAAGATTTCACCACAAATAAGTTAAAATATCATTACGTTACCCTGTACTTCTAAATTCTGCCTTTTATTTCTGGTGCTCAGTGCAGCTACATCGATCGCCTCGCCTCTAGTGCCATCACTACAGTTCATTAATCTATTGATATTTTTCGTCTTCCTCACCTTCGATCATTATGTAACGTTTAGTTAATCCTTCACGAAAGCTTAGTAGCCCAACGGAACGTTGGACTACGATATACTGGCTGATAACCTACTATGAATTTCACGCAATGCAACATGAAATTCCGTTAAATTTTAAATTCTGAAGCATAATCTTTCATTCCTTAAAGACACTTTACCATTACACGCCTGCAGACTCAATTTCAAATATTCATTTCAAACTTCATTTTCGGTATATTTTCTGTATACAAGTTGTGCAATGTGCATCTGTCAGCCTGAAGATTAAACAAAAAAAGATTCATTTTAAACTCTGACTTCTTTTACTTCTAAATTTAAAATGATAAGGTAAAGTCATTTGACTGCCTTTACGGGCCCAGCAGTTAATAGTCAACATAGGCTGGATCCGTACAAGATGGCAACAACTCAGGAACTAACACATAGCGTAAGCTTTTGCTATGTCACAAAAGGCCTCGATGTCAAACATCTCTTTAACTCCATAAAATTTGGAGAGTTAAACTATCATATTATATCTGTTTTTGTGAAATGAAACCATTATAGCAATCCCAGGTATGTTTTCTTTTTGCATCATTAATTTTGATATAACACGTATTTGAAAAATAGCTGAAAATTCAACAGCCATGGCTGAAGAGTTCGACGGATAGACAGTTGCAACATGTGCTCGACTCAGCTTTTATCTTTCGAGGCACGAGCTGTTACATTTAATAATAATGAAGGTTATTTATGTGCAGAGCTGTTGGGAATATTCGAGAGATAGTTTCGAAAATTTCCAGTGATACATGGTATACTTCACTTTGATCCTATCCAAAAGGCCGGGAAGCGATATACACAGTATATTGATTACTTGAAAATTCTGGCATCTTTTGCTGGAACATTGCAGCACTCGCGATCGTCGTGAGTAGTAATGATGATTCAGATGTCACTGAAATTGCAATCGCGTTCGTTTTTACTTCCTTGTTAGAAGGAAAGGAAGTATTGTAATCACGAAAAATTCCGGGTATCATATTTCTACAAAAATATCCAGTTTGACCGCTATCGAATGCAACGATATTTTTACGTGACATCTGTGCATAAGGGCAAAATGAAGGACTCGGCATATTTGAAACTTGGCAAAGTAGTGAATTAAAGTCTTTCTGCACTTTCAATGTCTTTTTGCCAAATGGGCCAAAAGGAAACTTTTAGTTTTGTGCACCGAAAAAACTGTCTTCTTTTTTTAAAAAAAATTTAATTGTTTTAACTGTATTTGGTGTTTTAAGTTTTTCAATATCTTTCAATTTTTAATTACGATATTTTGAATTTTTATGTATTTTTGTATTGCTGCGGGAGTGAGAACTGAATTAATTGAATGAGAAAAATATTTATAATGAAATTCGACCAAATAAGTTTACATGAAGTGCAGAAAAAAATGCGTATAATTTAATATTCCATACAAGGAAGTCATGTAAAGCTACCCGGGAATTGATAGTATTGGCCCAGCGATAATTAAAAAGTCTATTTTACTTTTATCCGGAATTTTTTTAACTTTTATATAATTGTTACATATATTTGAGTGTCTTTGCGAAGATGTGAAAAATCTTTGGTTTGATCCTTATTCCAAAAGTAGAAGGCTCCTATAGACCGATCGGTTTCTTGAAGTGCTTTACCAGAGTCCTGGATAAATTGATTATTAATAGATTGAGTAATTTCATTACCAACAATGGACTCATATGAAACCGAAAGTATGAATTCGTCTTCGGAAGATCAATTAAAGACTCACTGTATTAGCTTGTGAACTACTTGATTAGCAATAAAAAAGAGTATCACGTCGCTTCAATTTCCCTTGACATAAAAAGAGCATTCGACACTGTTAGTTGCCTATGTATTTTAGACACACTGCGAAAGACACACTCTCCGGGCGACCTTTACAAATTATTAAAAAGCTATTTTAGTGAAAGGAAAAATTATATTTTGCATGGACTAGAATCCAGTAGAATTTGATCTGTACAGAGGATGTCAACAGGGGTCATGTAGGTCTCTGCATCTCTGGAACTTGATCATGAATTAATTGATCTCACAAAACCTATCAAAAGACTTAGAAATGACATATTTTTCTGACAATCTCATGCTACTTATAAAAAAGTCTCACTTGAAAAATTAGAAAGAAAATTTCAGGAAATGGTTACAGTGATGGTTTGTTGGAAGACAGAAGAAAACCTGTAATTTAATCTCCACAAGACTTTTGCAATAGTATATCCCAGAGGAGAAACTCGCATAAGAAATTCGAGACTTCTATATCATGAAACAAAAATAAAATTCGTAAAAAGCATGAAATATCTGGGAGTAATTATAGACAACATATTAATATTTACAGAACATTTCACCTACATTTATTGGAAAAGTCAGGAGTTTTGAATTTCTATAAACGTAATTTTATACGGGATATTTTAGCAAGAAAAGTAATATCATACGCAAACTCTATAAAAACGTTATAATTCCAATAATCACAACTGGTACTGGAGCATGGGGAACTAAAGCGTCGAGCTACAACGCCTAAGAATGAGATTAGATGCAATACAGAGAAGCTGGCTATAAACATATGGCCCGAGCATTTAGAACCGCCTTCACAGAGGTGCTATGCATATTGGTGGGCTGCCACCCTCTTTCCTTATATTATTCATTATTTTTCGAAAAATTTTTATTAAGGACTAGTAAGAAAGATTTGATGATCTACGAAGATTACTTTGTAATAAGAAGCGCCTTTGAAAAACTAAATATCAATTTAATTCACACAAAGGAGAGAATATCGATCCTTTATATTAATATGACACCAACAATAGATGAAATTGTCATATATACGGATAGCTCCGGGATTGTAGAGAAAATTGGATTGACTTTTGTTGTTTATTATCATGGATGTGAAATAGAAAATAAAAAATATAAACTAGAGGAATTTAACTCTGTTTATCAAGCCGAATTAGCCGCCATCTCAAAAGCGATGAATTGGATAAAAAGCAACTTGTCAGGGCAGGATACGATTCAGATTTAATCCGATTCCCTATCAGCATTAGAAAGCCTCTCCAGCTCGGACCAGCTGAGGGATTTTCCCACAAAACATCAAATAAAACTTTCCTGGGTGAAAGTGCACGTTGGATATGAGGGAAATGAACGGCCAGACGTCCTTGCAAAAGCAAAAGAGGCTGCTATTGAGGCAATTATAGAAAGAATGGATTATCGGGGATCTAAACGGAAAGCAATTAGGAAAATTGACTTATATATATATAAAGAATGGAATAAAAAACGGAAAGATTCAGACTGTAGAAAGGACTTAGAAAGCATTGAAATGTCGAAAAAAAAAAAAAAAAAAAAAAAAAAACCTTGTCAGATCCTTTCAGGTCACGGTAGATTCCCATCTTATCTAAACAAAATAAAAATTCAAGAAAACGCAAACTATGCGAAAAGCCGGAAAATAACAGGCACTATTTGGAAGAATGTTAATGAACAAAAGACATAGGAGTTGCAAAAAGGATTAAAAACCTGATTTGTATTCCAAATTAAGCAAAAAACACACCAAAAGAGATCATGGAAAAGAATTACTAAAAACCTGGTCTCAAGTGGAATAGAACGTTAACAAAGAACACCCAATATGGCTGCTACTGGAGACTCACTTTATTTATGTTGTGTTGGAATATGGTTTTCCTTCGTGGCCGTTCTAGAAAAGCCATAAGGCAAGCTTCGGCTTGTCAGGAGTGTGGACCGCGCCATGCCTACCTACCTTATGCACTCTTCCTTTATTAACGGAAATGAGGGGACCCAATTTCCAAATTCTGGGGATGAAGAGTTATCGAGCTCTTGCTCCGTGAGGCAGTCGAAACTCATGCGCGTGACATAATGCACATTACGTATCAGAACAAATATCATTAATGGGAATATTTTATACTTTGTCGATTTATTTAACTTTAGGCATGTATAGAATGCCTAGGAAATGTGGGAAATATTAATCGTTTCATACTTTGGGGTCCAAGTTTTAGCATTCTATGCAATACTTGTTTTAACCCTGCCAGTAATATTACAAAACCAGCATTAGGCTTTTTCTCGTGTAGTGTTTTCTTGCCACCCTTTGCATACATACTGGTTGCATCGGCTATGATGCCATAAATATAGACTTGCATTGTATAATGACTGCTTGAGCATAATATAGGTAAGCACAAAATAATAATTTTTTATACTGGTTTGTTTTCTTATTTAATTGTTAAGCTCTCGAGGGCTATCTTCCTAAGGGTCTTCGTCGAGGACTTTCTGATGAAAACTGGCTCGTATACATGTTAAACATAGGGAAAACTACGAAGACGTCCATGCAGCAAGCCTGTTCGTTAGAACTCGAACCCCGAATCGAATTGCCAGTGTTAAGCGAGTTTACCAGTCGGTTGCTAGTGGGCCAATTTTTTTATACTGATTCTGACGTTTAGAGATTAAGTAATATTGATACAATTAGATAAACATTTTAATTTATGGAAATGAGATATGCTCGTGAATTATTATTATTATTATTTCTCTAGGGTTTAGAATCAAGTTTAGAATTATTATTATTATTCTAAACCCGCTATCAGGTTGAAGCAGTCAGAAATCTTCAATAACTGTAGCTGTTATAACTTGCTAGCATTTAATTATTAATGTATTAGAATTTCCATGCAAATTAAATGTAAAGATTATGTCAGTACTTTGAATGTGTTTTTGGATCTATAATGCAAAATTTATTTCGCCGTCAATGTATTTGTAATAATTTTTTATAGTAAGATTTCAGCCACAGTTTGATTTTGAAATTAAATAAATTAAAAACAATGCATAAACAATGTATTACTTCCTTTTAATCTCCGTTAGATACATATATACAGTCAGGTTGATTTCGAAAAGAATTATTATGTAATTACAAAGACTATAACTACTGGCAAGAAAATTCCAAAGTTAAATTAATTTCATGACAAAACACGAACAGTTTTATGAATAAGCATTCTATTAACTCTGCTTTTCATTTACTTGACTTCCTTCCAGCTTCTGCAATTTGCATCTTTTATCCACCATTTGTTTATATCGTAATATACAGAATTTTCCAGAAAAGAATGAGAGTGCAGTTTTTCGCACAAGTCACAGTCCATTGCGTAGTCTCGAATATCATATCCTCTAACTTTCCATTTGAAGTAATTAGAGAAAAGCGTGAAGTTTGAAGCTACCCGATACAAATGACTAGAAAGTTTCTTGGGTGAATCAAAGTCGAGGGCATTGATGTAAGAACCTGCTGGAGCTACTGCTAAATAATTGCCACCGCCAAAAACTACTGGAATCATATCATAATGAAGCACTCGGTAGAATTTTTCTGTGATATAATCCTCGCAAATAGTATTCTCAAAAGCTAAATAAAAGAAATACTTTTTTGAGAAATTTTCTAGGCAGATATTTGTTTTATTGAAATCACATACAGCCTTTCCACAAAAACCGTATGTATCGATATCGATGTAGTTTTGAAGTTGCTCAACATATTTTTCCCGATTTCCAACAGTAGAACAATGGCTTACCATCCACACCGCTATTTTCGTCTTCTCTCTCCAATTTAGGTAAAGATGAGATAAATTGAACGCATTTTTAGCGTTAGGCTTGATGCTTCCATAACGAATGACAATATCAGAATCATTCCTGTAAGACATCGTCCAGTTGAACATTCCAAACATAAAAGAGAATCCTGAAAATTCTGAATAAGGGGGAGATTCTAGTGTAAAGAATATCCATTTCTGAGTTATTGTGCGATTATGTGGGACATCTAACAGCGATAATGTTCTGATATGAAACAGAACAGCGTGACTTTCTAAAAGACGGCTTCTGTCTGAAGTAATTTCACATCTGTTTTCTGGACAACCAGAATTTGCGAAAGAGTTCTTTCCTTCTTTCAAAAAGGTACCTCCGCCGAACACGGGACACCATAATAAAATGACTTTTGTTTCATTTAATCCATGCTTTTCAGATTCTGAAATAGTTTCTAGAAATTGAATGGCTCCAAGCGAAGTATGAGATTGAGTTCCAAAGTAATTATGCAGTTTTTCAGGCCAACTGATATACAGAGTTGGCATAGACACTAGATTAACCATTGTCAATAAACACACTACTGCAGTCAAAATCATGAAGATCAATAAATGAATCTGATATGGATGCATGCAAGGAACACCCAGCCTTTTCATGGCCAGGCTTCATTATGTGATATGCTGACAGGAATGGAAATCTTTAAACAGACTTTAAAAATAGGAAGGCAAATATTTTAATAGAAGAGCCTCTTCAGGGCCAGTAAATGAAACATCAGAGTTGGCTTGATTCAAATGTTGTATTTTTTCTTATCCTAAATGCTTGTTGGTTGAATCTGAAATAAGATTGAAATAAAGAATGTTAGTAATAATAACAATGATTCAATGTATACCTTTCATTGCAGTAATTTTTTTTAATTCTTGAACAACATGAAACAAAAAACAATCAACTACATCAAGCAGATAATAGAAATAATTGAAATTTCTTAGTTATTCGTACAAAAAGTGGAAGTTATGCAATGAAAATAGCTTTGTAGCAAAAGTATTTTCGACACTATAAAGTACATAAAAATTTCCAAGTGATATCAGTTTTTCGAGTATTTTAATAAAGGAGTTTTACCCATTAATAACAAAAAAAATTACTTAAAAAATCCTGAAGTTGTATTATATTATCTGACATTTGATATAGATCAGTAATTATTAAGTATTAAATCTGATTTTCCTTTTCCATTTAATAAGATCGTTAATTTTCAAGCTGATTACATATATTATCAGACGATCACAAGCTCGTTTTAATAGTTTATTGACTAAAACAAATCAGGTTAATTAAAAAACAGAATTGTGTTCTATTTTTAATGAAAGAATTGCTTGTTCTACCTAAACCTCCATTTTAAACTAGTCTTACTGCAGTTTGTTAAGACTATAGGAAATCATCGCAAGAATATAAAGTTTTATTCTTTATCTTGCAAAGCAAGCAGTTTTCTGTTCTCTTTTTCGCTTTTTTTAGTAATGGAAAAAGATTTATTTGAAAAGAAGTGGTTATAGTTTTTAAACAAATTCTAAAATGGGCGAAATTTTTAATAAGGTATTTTCTCCTTCCTTTCTGCATGCCATCGTAGTGTAACGGTAACACAGTCGGCGCATATTCTAGGGGTCTATATTTGAGTCCCGCAAGGACATTGCTCATTTTTCCTGTTTCCTGATATCAAAATTCTCTCAGCTAATGACTCTACAGTGGTGCCGACTTATAAAAAGAACTACTGTGTCACAGGAAACTTCAACTTTTAGCATTTTTCCCTTAACGTCGCAATCCCCGTAGACTACGGGGAATCCCATGGAGGGATTCAGATTTATAGCGGACACCTTTAGAGCTGCTATGAAACCAGCAGCAATTTTTGATGGAAAGACGTCATCTGTCTTAAGATTTCTTAAGGAGTTAAATTCGAATTTTTTGCTTCATCCAGTACAAGAAGCGCAAAAAGTTACTATTGCCGTGTCCACCCTTGGAGGCCAGGCTTCTGCGTGGCATAAATGCATTGGCAAATCTGTCTCGGGTGATTGTGGTAGCGAAAGCTATAACTTTTAAGACGCATTAATTAAAGCGTTCCTAACAGTGAAGGATAGAGGCAAGCTCGGTCAGAGTTTTTCAGCACATTCCAGTACAAAATTGAGGATCTCACAGACCTTTACCTTGGGGAAAGTTCCGATTTTTAATGTGTTGTACCGAACAAGGCCTGACGAAGAAATTATTCGAATAATATTGCCGCGACTCTTACCCCAGGTACAGGAATACTTCGAATTTCGAAATCCTACAACATTGGAAACTTTATTTGAACTAGCCACAAAGTTCCAAAATTGGGAGGTATTGCTCATTTTTCCCGTTTCGTGCTATCAAAATACGCTAATGACTCTACAGAGTGAATCTTATTAATATCATAAACTGAAATAATTATGGCAATTATTAAATAAACAGAACTCTAAAATGTACTTATGCTTCCAATCACCATATTCACCCCATTCCCAGTTTTAGGGAATTTATGTGGTTAGTTATAATAATGGTTTTTCGTCCAAAAACTTTCTTAATAATGTTAGGGGAAAAAAACGTGAAAGCAGTGCCTTTAGTGAGGGTAGTAATCACCACCCAAATCTATGATTTTCTGTCAATGTTTTGGTGGTTTTTGAAAGAAACCAGAAACTTGGTGGCCGCGAGTCCAAAAACAAAGTCCAAAAACAACCTTAATTCGGACGTCCTGTGCAGAAGGGAAGATAGCACCAGCAAGGTCGAATATGTGAAAAAACGTAGAAGTGCGAAGGAGCGATGTCCAGGCTATATGGTGGGTGTGGCAAAAGATCCCATTCGAGTCCGGACAGAGTCCAGCCGGTGAATGCAGGAACATGTGGTTTTGATGGAGCATTATCCTTTATGCGCCGGAAATCAGCTCGACGTTTTTCCTTGATAGCAGTGTCAACACGGACTAGCATGTCGTTGTATACCTTACTGTCGAGGTTTTTTTTAATCTTTTTCCAGATATTCTTTGCGGATAACACCGCGGCAATCCCAGCAGATACAAAGCATGATCTTTTAGTGATCCGTGTTATTATTCACAAAGAGTATCTGGAAAAAGATAAAACCCTCGACAATAAGGTATCTAACCAGATGCTAGCAGGTGTTGACGCTGATATCAAGGCGAAACGTCGAACTGAGTTCCGGCGCATAAAGGTAATATTCCATCAAGCTAATACAAGACCACATGTGTCTGCATTCACCGGCTCTAATCTGTACGGACTCGAATGGGATCTTTTCCCATACTCACCATAAGCCCCGACATCGCACCTTCGGACTTCTACTTTTTATCGCATCTGCAGCTACAATCTTGCTGGTGCTATCTGTGCAGAAATCTGTGCACAGGAATCTGTGTTCATCTGAAATGAATTTGATCTGTTATTCGACTCGCACAAAGTTTCTGGACCGAAGGCTTTGAAAAACTATTGAAATGTTGGCATGAAATCATAGATTTGAGGGGTGATTACTATACGCAATAAAGGTAAAGCTTTCTTGTTTTTTTTTTTCTTCTAATTTTATTAAGAACGTTTTTAGGGGGGAAATTTTCGTTACAACCAGATATATATATGCGTATTCTAGTAAGTATTATTCTTTATAAGGAAAAGCTGTTTTCAGTTTTCTTTTAATTTACAAAATATATCAATTTTTTGATGGATTCTTACGAGGATGAAAAGAAATTACAATCTGATCTTGATGGTATAAAGACTTGAAAAGATTTTAACCTAATCTGTTACGATAGCCGTACTAGTTAAAAAGAAATCTCTTAAGAGTATAAACAGTTAAAAACAAAATATAAAATCTTATGTTCAAAATGGAAAAGAAAAAGGAAAGGGAAAGTTGCTATGATACTATAATCATCATAAATTAAACGCCTGCGAACTTACATACTAAAGAAAAAGCTTAATTATTTAAGACGTAGGCTGCGGCGTTTTCATTCATTGGATCTCTTGCGGGTGAGACCAAGGAGGTCCTCCTTGGGTGAGACTTGCAACCAAAAAAATATTTCCTTGGCAGTCTTTCTTAAAGAGAGGGGAGGCACCAGTGGCCGAATGTTTAAGTAGGCTGAATGCAGGAATTTCGATCCCAACCAAACAAGATTGTTGCATGTTGGATTTTTGTGGTTTTTACCAATGTATAACATGAAGCGAACTAGTTTTCTTTAGAAAATCCTCTTTGAAGGCATCCTTCCTTTAGGCTTGCTTGTGTGCGCTTTGGCATATTCAAATAATTTAAGCTTCTTCGCGTTTTTTAAAAAGAGATATATTAAGGTATATTTGGCTTTCAGTTGAAATCTGAAATTTATTGCTCGAAGATTTCGTTTAAATGGAAGTCAATATAATGTTAGATATAGCATATTTTGTTGCCAAGATTTTCTATACATAGAACAGGAAATAATGAGATGTATTGAACACGCACTATGAAATAAATTATTTTATACGACCCATGAATTATAAATTTAGAATAAACATTAATAATTTAAGAATAATAACAGGCTGCCACAATGTAATCTGGAAGCACAGTTAATTTAAAAATACGCAATTGTCAAAAATAAAATAAAATAAAAATGAAAGATAGAAAATTTGAAAGAATTCATATTTTAACTTTGCACCAGAGGCTTTGTTAAGTTTTTTATGCTCTTGCTAAGCACGGAAAAAAAATCTAAAAGCTTTCACATTTTACATAACATAGCATTTTGTGTGTTTCCTTTATTTATTAAATATCATATTCTTCAATCTAAAAGCTTTCAGATTTTACATAACATAGCATTTTGCGTGTTACCTTTATTTATTAAATATCATGTTCCTCGCACTTAAACCAGAAAATTTAGTTCAACAACAATATCGCAAAATAATTCTAAAATGAGCACATCTTTAGAATTTCCGATACGCAGTCTCGAGCGCTGGAGATAATTTTTTCCCCCGTACTGTATTGCGATTGCTCGCTTTGAAATCGTTGAGTTTCTTAATCAAAAATACATTAAAGTTTTACAAAACATAAAATAGATAAACAAAATCTGAAAGCTTTCAGATTACGCCCAAAGGGACTTTTTTTAACCTTTCGTGTGTTCTTTATTTATTAAATATCATGTTCTTTGCACTAGACCATAGAATTCAATTCAACAGCAATATCGCAAAATAATTTTAAATGAGCATATCTTTAGAATTTCCGATACACAATCTCGTGAATTTCCCCCCCCCATACAGTTTTGCCATTGCTCGCTTTGAAATCGTTGAGTTTATTAATTTTGAAGTCAAACAGCAAAAAATCAGCGTTATATTTTCAAATTTTCACAGGACTAGTTTGGATGGTTTTACCGAAAAATCTTTCTGTTCTAGTTAACGACCCTAATTCCAATCCAACATTCCTTTCAGCCTTTAAAGAAATTATGTTTTAGTTCTGGTTTCATCAACAAATGGCACCAGTAGCTTATCTCCTGTCCAGACTTTTATCTTATCTAATCATTATATCTTATCTCGTTCATTTGCGCTTTTGCAGCTGAGGATGATGGTTCGGTAAAACCATTGAAACTAGTCCTGTGAAAATTTGATTTCTGGTGTTTGACCTCAAAATTAATTTTTGTTCTCCGTGTTACTGTATCTTAATCGTTGTATTTGTTAATCAAAATTTCGTGGAAGTGTTGCAAAATATGAAATCCACAATAAAACAAATTCCAAATTCCAAATTAGAGCTTCTAGATGCCCATATTCGGTGGAAGATTATGTTATTAAAAATTTGATGGTTCTAGGTACCATTGTTTTATCACAATGCGAG